CCCCCCAATTAAAAAAAAAAACAAGAATAATACAGTTAAGTCATGAAACAAAATAAAATGAAAGTGTAAAGAATCCATATCCCCCTTTTCCTTTTTAATATTTAAATATTTTCATCATTTATTAATTTAAAAGATTGTATAATCATGAATAACATTCATTTTAAGTATTAGTAATAACAATTATGAGTGATTTATAATTTTATTTGGAGAAAAAGAAATTTAATTTGAAGAATAGAATCTTTCAATTGATTGTGAAAGAAGAAAGCATATATTCGTTTGGGAGGTGGGGTTGAATAGATGAGGCCTTCTTCTTTAGATATTTTATAGTTACTTATTTGCATAGCCACGAGGAATATATACAAAGTGAAAGTGGTAGAGATAAAAAGATATCAAATTAATTAATTTTCATTCTTATTTATTTGGTTACTTATTTTTTTTAAACTATAGTTAGAGATATTATATAGTTATTTATCAAGTAGAAATGTATTTAGTTAATTAATAGTTACAAACTTACTATGAGACTTGAACTTATGCACGGTTGAAAAATTACTATTTTGATCTCTCTGACAAATATTCATTTGCTATTCTCATAGATTTTTTGATGGAATATGTGAGAAAAAAATAAAGTTATTTTTTATACGAAATCTTAGAAAATCTTTTTCCATCATGCATTTTTTCGATAAGCTGATTTGATGAGAAATGAATGAAAAAATCATATTTTATCGGACAAATTTTTTACTAGTTTATTGTTAGAAAAACACTTTATTTCTAAGAGTGATTAATTACATGACCATATTGAAAATATGTGATTGCATAATCTAGCGCTAGCTAATCTATAAAATTTACAACTATATGGATAATTAATTAAGTTTGTCTTTCACGGGTTAATTATAACTAATTTCCTTGTTTGGAATCCAAGCAAAATTTATCAACTCAAGAATCTTTGGGGCATGAAATTGGAGTACTAGTATACATAACTCTTTTTTATTATTATTTTTCATCCAGTGTTCGGAGCATGTAATTAAGGCCCCTATTCGATAGTAGTGTTTCCAACAGAATTTTTTTGAACCCAGACTCAAATCCGAGACCTCTGATTAAGGGTGAAACAATTTCATCACTATATCACAAACTTACGTTGGTACTATAGTATATATAACTAATTTCAACTTTATTGGGCTAGAAATAAGTGGTGTATGTATAGGTAAAAAATAGATTATAGGTAGAGTAGATATATATATATATATATATATGTAAAGTACCAAGGAAGTTATTAAATAAATGTTCAATGATTAAAAGTGCATGGGAAGTAAGTAGTTATATTAGTTTTGTTTTGAATAAACATGCATGCAAAAGCTAGCTAGGGTAATAAATAGAGTTAAAAGGGGAATTGAGTCGACAATCTTCTATTCCACAAAAGCTTATGAGAGTGTAGAGTTTTGAAACTCCCAAGAAAAGCATTACTACTACAACTTATAAAAAAATAAAAAAATAAAAACCTAACAAAGAAAGAAGTTTGAGGCTAGAAAGAAAAGCTGCACAGTCTGTAACTGCTTTAGAATTTCTGTTGGTTAGCCACCTTAATTACCAATTAATCCAAGCACCAATCCTTGCAATCGATTCTCAGTTTATGTGACGTTATTTGATTTGATGTGAAATTTGATATTTGTGATCTGAATATGATTATAGGTCATTTCATTAAGAATAAAAATAAAATTTAAAAATTACTTTTTTTAATTATGGACAGATAACATTCTTATTGAAATCATATAAATTGAAACAAAGAAAGTAATTAATATGCGCTATATAAATAAGAATACTAAATAATATACGCTTTGATTGATGATTTTAGTGAAATAATATACGCAATAATTAAAATGTTATAAAAATTATATTGTGCTAATAGTGTAAATAATCTTTACACCATTATTCATATAAATAATGTAAACCAATGTTTAAAAAAAAGGAAATTACGCGGTTAAACAAACATATACTAGTTAATTAGTCATTATAGCTATATAGTTTTCATTAATTACCACTCGCCATTAATATTCGTTATAAGTACGTCACCCACTTTTTCAGTTTGTATAAGTGTGTACGTTTGTATAATATAATTTGTATAACTGTTTAAAGTTCAGATGTTTTTGTTTCTATAAATTCGTTTTATGAATTTAAACAAAAATAAATGCAAATGAATTGATACTAACCAGTTTATACAAATACGAACGAACTTTTGTATAATGTAATTTGTATAACCGTTTAAAGTTCAGAAAATAAATACAAATCAATTGATACTAACCAAAACAAACAAAAATAGCTCAATTATACAAGAATACCTGCAAATTATACAAATAAGATCGCCCATAACAGCTTAAATTATAACTACAACCCATAAATATATAAACTATAATTAATGAGCCTAATTAATTTTATTATAGTGGTTATTTGAGAAAATTCCTCTTAAAAAAAATCCGAAGAGCAAAAGGGTATGTTTTGGCTATTTTGGGGGTAAACCGCTAAATTCGTTTTTACTAAGAATTAAAAAATGAATTTTAAAAACATATCGATATGGTACAAAATTCAGAACAGAAGATTCTAAAAAAATAACTTTGAAGTGTAAATATACTAGCATATGTACATTGCAATATAAATAAATTTTAGTTGTTTATACATAATATAATAATAAAATTCAAAAAAGAAAAAGTTTGAAATAAAATATTTTAGCGTACGTGTTTAGGATGACAGTGCTAAGTATGTGCAATTGTATTACTTTGATATTAAGAAAATAAATTAGACTTTTAA